TTTATTATAATAAATTTATTTTAATATGCTTAATTTAATTATAAATTATTACTATTTTGCATGTAAGTATATAGGTTTATTTGAACTTTGTACATATGAACAATGAAATATTCTGCCACCATTTTGTCCACCAAGTTTCCTTCTTCCATTTCATGCATATGCACAGCCCATTCCCCCAAAGCATATTTCAAAAAAATTATGACTCCTATAAATGCTCCTTAGGTGTTCAGAATCAACCAGGCACCAAGGAACATTCATTACCAATTCAGATCACAACTACTGTTTCACTAAAACATGATGTCTGATCCTTCCACACTCCAGCATTTCCTTCCAAATACGCTGCTTCGTCCCCTTGAACAGGAATACAAGTTCCTTCAGAAGAGGAATACAGGTTCTTTCCAATTGCTCTAGCATTTCATGATCTATTCAACTAATTAGAGAAGTTCACCACTGGAAATTTTAAATCTTAAATGACTAAACTAAAATAATGATAACCCTATTTCATCAGGGAACACTGACTCACATATTACAGAAGATGAGAACAAATTTCTGTAACAATGTCTACTCTTCCATTTCGCTAATCAGATTTACTTTTTACTTACCGTTGCAAAGCAGATCAACAAATTCTGTAAAAAACATGCTAAAAACCCCTAGTTCATTATGATATTCATAACTCCTCCGTGATGTTCTGATCTGGCAAACAAATATCCATTCCAGCCATTTCCTGCAAGTGAGTAGTTCTATTTAGTAGTCCTGCTATGGCAGGACTAGTAGCAAATTGTGTGTATGACACCTATACATGTTTACAAAATGTGCCTTACTACTCATCTTTCCCCACAGAAGAAATACACACACAAGATTTTATATTGACGTAACACAGCAGATTAAAAGCTTTGTATCTGGGACAGTTACACGATGAGAACTGTTTGATCACTTAATATCCTAATTTAATATGCAAACAGTGAAGTGAATGGATTTTTTTTCAATGATACAAGGTAAACTCCTAAGCCATGAAGATCCCAGAAGACAGACTCTCAAGGTAGTGCTGAGTAATAACGCGAGAGGGATTCATGGCGTGTTTCACCTTCACCTTTGCCCAGTGCCCTTACTACCCTGCCAAGAAAACAGTCAGGAGCTCTTAAGTTATTGCTTGTATACTGGAATGTCAGCATTAAATATGAAGCATGTATTTTCTATTACTGCTATGGCTACCCTGGTTCAAAAGCTAGAAGGTTTCTTTGGACCGGGTTATTTTTAAATTGGTTGTTTTCAACTGGAATGCATCAGTATTATTTCTCAATCGTACTTTTTATCCCTAAGAGATCTACATAGTGGGCATGAACACATCTATTATAATGCAGATGTTATTTGTTTGTAGCATATAATGTTTTTTTCTACAAATAATTTCTACTGTATTTTCTACAGATTGTACTATGGCTCCATAAAATAGAAACATATTACCTAAATTAGTTTGGTTTTTGTATCTGATAATACACAATGACTTCCCAACTACTTAAACTTATCCTGTTTCTTCTTACAAAACTCCACAACCATGACATAAACACAACCATGTGATGGATATCATACCAGGAAACACAGAACTAGAGATGTGAATTTTTTGTTTCATAAAATTGTAATTTGATTAAAATAGCCCATAACCAATCCTGGCAGTGCTGATTTACTTTTTTCAAATACTTTCTTGACAAACTAAAAAAGAAAACAAAAAAGATAATTAAAATTATGCTTTGTGGATTATTTTGGTTAAAACTGGATTTTTTTGGATTTAGATTAATTATTTTAGGACCAGATAAAAGCACACCTACAGCACGCTGTTCTTAAGCTAGACTAAGAGTATCTGCATTGATGCCTGTATCTGTAGAGCTACATTGGTTCAAGTTTATCAACACTTCCAGAGGAAATGCTGAGAAACATACAGTTCAGCCACAATGAGAATTCTCTCTCGAAAGAGAAGATGCTGGGGCTAACACCCAGGAGAGGGAACACCCAGACCCAGAAGCTGAAGGACACCTGTGGAAAATTCAAAGGGCTCCCAACAACTGCTAGAGCCCATGGCCAGAATTTTGATGGTGGAACAGCTGCACTACAGTCCCTCAGGATAGGTACAGGAGGGCTGCACATGCTCTTTCTCTCTAAAACCTTTTACTTAATTTCTGTTTGAAAGGCTTTTTGCTAAAAGGAATTGATTTTGCCCTCAATGCATCATATTCTGTCATAGGAAATACACACACAGGTCTGTCAGCTTGTCTTAACAGTTGTAAATATCTAAACCAAACCCAAATCATTCCTTGTGTTCTGAGATTATTTGCTGTAGGAAGCACATGAAATACAAACACTTACTCAGTGATCAAAGTGATCCAAACTGCAATGCAACTTCTACCAGAACACCTTTCAGTTTTGCACTGTGATGCAAAGAGCAAAGCTGTATGTTTGCACTGGGGGACACAGGCATACACATTTGCAGTCCTGTGCATACATGTTTTGTTTTGTTCTGAAAGCCATCCATCCTTTTGCTGGCAGTGTCACAATTGTAACAGCTATTTCTTCAGACCTGTCAGAATTAACATCACTGGCTGGCAGTGGTCAGCTGGCACAATCAAAGTTTAAAGACGGTCCTTCAAAAAAAGAGACATCCTTAACACTCCTGCTTGTTGCCTGTTTCTCAGTGTGAAAAGCTCCACCAAACTTTAAAAAATATCCTAACAGAGAATAAAGCCCAGTCATTTCCCTTGTGAAACTTCTGAACATCTGAAAATAAGAGAACAAGCTGTTTTGCATACATCACTACATTAGTGCCAAATACAAGAGGGAGAATGGGCCTCTAATGGATAACGGCAAAATATGAGTTTTATTGGCTCAACTGATCATGCTATACAAAAAAATGCTTTCGTAACAGAGGTTTAGGTCTGACTGCACAGAAGATTATCTTTACAATGACAACCGTTCACGGGATCATAAGCACTTGTTAGCGACGGAAAGGTCAAAACTCTCCTGAATCTCCGATCCTTCGTGCCAGCCATGGTATATGGTACATGTGTAACATCAGACACGTCCGCAGTCAGAACACCAAATGGTGCT